GAGGACCTGGTGCGAGGAAGAGCGGCGAGGGGGGGAGAGGGGCAGTGCGGTAGGGGAAGAGACAGTAAAAGGGAACCGACTCGTCAAACGGGACGTCCTGGGGTCTTGTTCCGCGAGGGCTGCTTCGGCTTTGTCTTCAGGAGTGGCGGAGCTGCGCGGCGGGCGCTCGTAGTCAGCGATGTTGTGTTCCCCCCTGGTGCGGTCGGCGTGGCGATCGCATTGAAACTTGCGGATGGTGAGGTCTTCGTAAAAGATGACGTCGTGGGCCACTACGATTCGCGAAGTGTCGTGGTCGAGGATGGTCCAGGCGTGGTGCTCGAAGCTGATGCCGAGGTGCACGCCCCAGCGAGCGCGGCGTTCGAACTTCCCGGTGGTTGCTGCTGCTGGCCGATACTGCACCATGCACCCCCAGACGCGGAGCATGGAGATGTCGCCTTTGTTGCCAGTGAACTTGAGGTGAGGAGCGAGGTTGTCGGTGTTGGCAGTGGTGCTTAGGAGATTGTGGAGACGGACAGCGTGATGCATGGCATAAGGCTAGTACTTCGCGTCGACGTCACTCTGCTGCAGAAGGGCGCGGGCCTTGGTCATGAGAGTGCGGTTGGTGCATTCTGCTACGCCTTGCTGGGGATGAGCGTAGGGGAGAGAGAGCTTGTGGACGATTCCCTTCTCCTGCAGGTATGTTGCTAGCTTGTCGCTCTTGAACTCTGCTGCGCAGTCGGTTTGCCATAGCTTGAGGGTGCAGCCAGACTGTGTCTCCGCGTTGGCGTGCCAGACCTTGAAGATGTCATACGCCTTGCTCCTGTGAGAGACGTTGGCCACCCAGACGAAGCGAGAGTATGCGTCGATGAAGGTGAGGGTGTATTCTTCGCCGTTGGTGCATGTCTGTGTGAGAACAAGGAAGTCGTTGTATACTTTCTGGAGTTTTTCGTAACGGTTGGTGTTGGGCTCAAGGAGCTTGAAAGGCTTGTGTGTCAGAGCAGCTTCAGGGCAGATCTCGCAGTCAGTGCGGCGAGTAGTGTTGATGGGAACAGGGGTTCCATCAGGGCGGAGGAAGGTTCCAGGGATAAACACTTCGGCGCGGATGCAGTTGTTGAGAACTTCCTGCGAGGGGTGACCAAGGCGTTTGTGCCAGAGGTCTGGGGGCGCGTGGATGGCAGGTGAGCGTGCGTAGAAGGTGAGTAGCTCGGTGATGTTGGTGGGAGGAGGCTGTGGGATGGGCTGTGGTGAAATGGAGAGTCCAAGAGGTCACGAGCGGTGAGCTGTGGGGCTTGTTCCACTGTGGCGATGGCAGCAAGAGGTGATGTAGGGTCATCTGTGTCAGCTGTTTCTTCAGGGAGGATTGGGCGTGGCATGAGGTGAGGAGGGAGTCCCTGTATCGTGGATGGTCCTTCGGTTGTTGGGTCATGGGGACCGATTGGTGTGGATTCAGTTGGTAGTGGGCTATGGGGGTAACGGCGGTATGGTAATATGGTATCACCATCGACAGGAGATGCTGAGTGTGTGGAGGAGGCCCAGGTGTCTCTTGAGGGTGAGTTTCCTGAGGGGGGAATGCCGATGGGTCGTGGGGACCCATAGGGCCCTGCAGCTTCTTCAGCTGCTTCCTTATCTGTTCTTGCGATAAAATCCTCGATGGGCTCCTCTTCCTCCTCTTGGTGTGCAGCCCCCCAGGTTCCTGCTCCCCAGTCTGGTGCGGTTCCTCCCCAACCTGTTGCCCCAGTTCCGCTTCCCCAACCCCTGTTGGCTGCTGCTGCTGCTGCTGCTTTGGCTTCTTCGTCGGCGCAACGGCGATTGTCTTCTTCTTCATGGCGCTGAAACTCTTCAGTGGTCATGTTGCGGTGGGACAAGGGATGAGCAACATGATATGTCTCCCAGTCCAGTGGCAGGGGATTGTTGTCACGATCAATTGCTCCAGGTCCTGTGTAGCGTGTGAGGAGGTGGAGGCGATCGTGCACGGTGGGATCAGTTCGAGTCCTGCGAGGTTGGAAGATGGTGAGGGCCGCAGCAAGTTCCGCGTGATGGCGCATGCCTGTGGGATGTTCCGTCTGCCATTCTGCTTCCTCCACTATGTCCATGCCGGCGGGTTGTATGCCTTGTGCTGTAGAGGGCCCGCCTGCTGCTGTTGCCATACGTCTTGCTGCTGCCGCTGATGATTCGCCTTCGTCAGCTGGCGGTGCTCGTGTCCTGTCGTTGGTTGTGGAGGCTGTTGGTGTGCGGCAGTTTCGGCAAAGTCCATCAGGGCCAGGTGCGTGCAGGTCGATTTCTCTGGGATGAGCATGATGCTTGACCCAAGGGCGCCCATCGGGGTGTGTGAGTCTGTGGGGATCGGTGACTTGTTGAGGCTGGAGGTCAATGAGGTCTCCAGAGTCCGCGCGGCAGTCGGGGATGTCATAGTCCAGGATGTAAACACCGTTATCGGCGCGTGCTTTCCCGATGTAGCGCGGTTGGTCAGCGGGGCGACTGTAATCCTTCCAGTGCATCAGGATGCACCGAGTGACAGGGTCTGTGGTCATGAGCATGCCGTTATTGACGAGCTGTTCGTAGGAGAGGAGATTGTAACGGAGATCTCGTACGATTAGTACGTCGTTGAGCGTGAGAACGACGATGCCGCATGCGCGTGCTGCAAGCTGCTGGTTATTTGCGACAGTGACGATGGTAGGTTCCGGGATTGGTCGTGCGTTGGAGATGAAGCGCTTGGATCCCACCATGTGCTGCCCGCATCAGGTGTCGAGGTACCATGTGTTGTGGGAGTCGGCGCGTTGTTGCGCCGAGAGTGCGGGACTTGGGGTGTTGCGGAACGGAATGCGTTAGTCGCCGGCGGCGCGGTAGTTATCGACGGGACGGTTGTCTATGTAGTGTCCAAAATAGTAGTTGGTGATGGTTGGCGAGTTGAGAAAATCGTCATCGTGCGGTGGTGATTCGAGCAGGGTAGTCGGCAGGTCCCAAACTTGCTCGTGTTCGTCAGAGACAAACTCCCCGTCCTGCGTGAAAGGGTTGTTGTAGCGTGTGAAGTTGACTTCTTGTCCTGGAGGAGGAGGAGAGACGTATCGGAGGTGCCTCCGATTGGTGCGCCGAGTGCGGCGGCGAACACGCATCGCCATGTTGCCCTTGACATGACGAACGATGTTGTTGTTTTGCGTCGGCGGCCTTTGTGAGTCAGGTTGCGGAGGTTGGCGCAGGGTGAACCGATGGTCCGAGGACGGTCGGTTGGCCTGGCGCGTGTGATCGGGACCGTAGACAGAGTTGTTGCGCGGCGCGGAATCGTGTCGTGGTCTGGATCGACATCGTTTGGTGGAGTGGTCGAAGATTTTGCAATGTTTGCAGTAGTATTGGCGTGGGTGTGAATCGCGATTCCGTCGTTGGTCGCGATTGGAGTAGAAGGCGATTTGATCGCGGCGCGTCCCTTTTTCTTGGTTAAAATCCATGTCCTGCTGCTCGTGTAGTAACGTTGCGCAGAGATGCACTTCTGAAATTATGCCTTGCTGGCGAAGCAGAGCCTTGCAGGGATTCCAGTGGGGTCCAAGTCCTCGAAGCACGATGGTGACGAACATGTCTTCGGAGATTGTGTTTCCGAGCTTCAGGAGCTGGTCGCGGACGCTGTGGCAACGATTGATGTAGGAGTTTGCCTTTTCGCCAGGTGCCCTCTTGACTTCCATGAGTTGCTGGAGCAAGCGGCTAGAGGAGACGGAGTCCTTGGGCTGGTAAGTTTTGGTGAGGTAGCTCCAGGCGGCCATTGCGGGAGTTGGGTGTGTTTTGAAGGGGCGAATGCCGAGTTGTTCGGCTGGGGCCATCTTGCGAAGGAGAACGCTATACGCCATGAGCGACTCATTATAGTACTGAGCCTTAGCGTCGTCAGTATCACCAGTGGGGCCAGCGTAGCTTCCGTCGAAGTAACCGAAGATTTGCGCGTTTTGGAGAAGTAGCTCGAGCTCGAAACTCCAGGTGTAGAAATCTCGCCCGCTAAATACGGTGCTAGTGCGAATCTTGGAGATCGTCATAAAATTGTTCTGAGAAGCGAGCATGACTTCGTCGCTTGGACGAAGAGCGGTTGGAGCGGAAGAGTTCGACCCGAGGTCGAAGGTGGCTGGGATCGGTTCCTTGCTTGGAGCAGCCGATTGGTCGGGTTGTCGCGAGGTGCCCGGGTTACCACTCTTCAATTGTTGAATTCCTGATTCCAACGTGGTGACGCGATGGATGAGTTGCTCCAGAAGCGCATTGCTGACGGTAGTGTTGCCCGCGGAGTTCGCGGTAGGGTTGGCGGGGGCTTCAGCAGTAGGAGCTGCTTGTCCGCCAGATCCTCCAGCCATGTTTCGGCGGGAGCGCGTACCGGACGCCACCTTGGATTTGAATTTGAATCAGAGGTGGTGATGCGAAGAATCATGAGTGGCTCTCATACCATGATACAATATGAACCGTCCATTAGGATCGTCTCAGGTTGATCGCACGGAGTGTAGCAGCGGAAGGTTTGCTTGCTAATGTCGGGTACGGACTCTATCAGAAGAAGGAGATTTGAATCTCGACAGAAGTGACTAATACAATGCGGTACACTGGTTTATATAGGAATACAGTGGAATACGAAAGGTCCTAGCTAGCCATGTACTATGAGGGGGTACATCCCCCCTAGGGCTAATCTAGATGCAGGATTGCAACCGTGCGCAGTTCGGTAACCGTTTGAAGTTTTCCCGCGCTTTGCACTTCGAATTCTTCCTGCTTGTAAACTGTCTTTCGATAACTGTCTTTTCGCTTGGTCTTCGTCCTCGCTGCAATCATCTTCGCGTGAAGGATTCGTTACTCATGAATGTTTATTCAACTAGTCCATATCGTAACATTGACAGTCACCTGGACCAGGGCGATCTTAGGGCGTGAAAATATATATTAATCCAGAGAGCGGTCAACGCTCTGCACCGTACAACTGCAACATACATGTAAATTAACTGTAAACAACCACTCGTAAGTCTGGACTTTTTGAATTATATACTAGATGTTACGTGCCCTTAGACCAGATGAAGTGTATTGTTGAACGGCTAGGTTGGATGGAAACCCGAAGTGCTCTCCGCCACAGAGCAAATTTGTGGATTTTCCCACGCTCCCGCCTTGTTCGCGAACCAACATCTAGAAGTTCAGCCCTCCAACGACAAATGTCTCGCTGACGATCCTGAGATCATCAATTCGCAAGAGGTGCCTTCTACCGTTATCCCTTTCGATTGGCGAATCCGATTTTTACTGCCACGTCAACCTTTCTCGTCCGTCAGATGAACTCGCATTTTCTCACAATTGGCTGAATCATCCCTCCGTTTCGTTATCCGATTACCTTGGAATTTCCTGAGCCAGGCTTCCGCCCATTCCCGCCCGCATTCCCCCTCCTCCAGTGCCCGAGTGCGTTTTTGCAACCACACAGGCTCCTAGGGCGTGCAAGTCTTCCGCTTCTTCCTGACTATCTCCCCCCTCCGCTCCGCCCCCTCAATCCCGCCTGTCTGCATTCACCACCTCACAGCCCACTCACCCTCCATCACATCACATTCTGTGATCTCTCTCCTTGCTTCGTCAGACCAGCGTTCCTCAGCTTCCTCCTTGGTCGAAGCCTGCTGCTGCTTCTCGCGTTCACCAAGTCGCACGCGAGTCTCAGTTCCTCACACCAGGCTTAGCCATGGCGCACGCTGTCGCTGCCTCCTCTTTCACCGCGGCTCTGGCCCCGTCCTCCGGGTCCTTCGCCGCTGCCGTGCAGAGGAAGACCGTGACTTTGAGGACCGTCCCGTGCGGAGCGGTCAGGCGGTGCAATGTCACCGCGAGCCTTTCCCCGATTGAGAAGCAGTTCTCCGCGGAAGAGATTCTTTCCAACGTTGACACTCAGAAGACCGTCGCTGCTTCCATGGCCGGTTCCCTCTTTGCCCTCCTTTCCAACGTCGGTTCCGCCGCCGCTGTTCAGGAAATCGCCACGATCGCTGACTCGGACAACCGCGCCGGAAGCCTTCTCATTGTGCTTCTCCCCGCTATCGGCTGGGTGCTCTTCAACATCCTCAAGCCCGCCCTGAACCAGCTTGACAAGATGAAGGGTGCTCGCGGCATCGCTGCCACCGCTGGTCTCGGTGCTGCTGCCGGCGCTCTCCTCGCTCCCGAGCAGGCCGATGCCGCCCAGCAGATCGCTCAACTCGCCGACTCCGACAACCGCGCCGGAGCCCTTCTCATCGTCCTCCTCCCCGCTCTCGGCTGGGTGCTCTTCAACATCCTGAGGCCCGCCCTGAACCAGCTTGACAAGATGAAGGGCAAGAAGGGTGTCGCTGCCGCTCTTGGCCTTGGTGCCGCTGGTCTCCTCGCTGCTCCTCACGCCGAGGCCGCTCAGCAAATCGCGGAGCTCGCCGACTCCGACAACCGCGCCGGAGCCCTTCTCATTGTCCTCCTCCCTGCTCTCGGCTGGGTGCTTTTCAACATCCTGCAGCCCGCCCTGAACCAGCTCAACAAGATGAAGGGCAAGAAGAGCGTCGTCGGCGCGCTTGGCCTGGGTGCCGCTGGTATGCTGGTCGCTCCCCACGCTGAGGCTGCTCAGAAAATCGCGGAGCTCGCTGACTCCGACAACCGTGCCGGCGCTCTCCTGATCGTGCTGCTGCCTGCTCTCGGGTGGGTGCTGTTCAACATCCTGCAGCCCGCCCTGAACCAGCTCAACAAGATGAAGTCGTCGAAGAGCGTCATCGGTGCTGCCGGCATTGGTGCCGCCGCTACCGCTCTCCTGGCTGCTGCTCCCGCTGAAGCCGCCCAGCAGATCGCTCAACTTGCGGACTCCGACAACCGTGCCGGTTCCCTTCTCATTGTCCTCCTCCCTGCTCTCGGGTGGGTGCTTTTCAACATATTGAGGCCAGCCCTGAACCAGCTGGACAAGATGAAGGGCAAGTAAATTTGTGTGTAGTCCTTTTTTTTTTGGTTTTACGTGCAAGGAAGTTGGACATATTTGACAATTTTGACTTGCACTTCAGTGACTGTTAAATGTGATGTAAGAACCTTGCGAACGCTCCGGAATGCAATTTCCTGTCCTATACGTGGTTTTACTGTATTTTTCTCAAGGTAGCGGCATTTGTAGGATGATTTCTAGTGAGGGGTTTTCAAGTCAGCTTTTAAAAGTTATACCGAGTCAGAGTAGTGGGAGGTGTTCTGCTGCCAGAAAATCGACCTCAGGGACAGAACCATGCCGTCTTTATGATGTGATATTATAAAGTTAAGCAATCAAAACGTTGGACGTATACTATTGGTAAATTACTATCAAAGGGTACACAGGTGATTCCTAGCATTCTATAGAAGCTAGATCTAGAGCAATGCAACATGATCAGTTTGATTTTTTAATATGATTTTTAACCTTCACTAACCTAAAAGGATTATACAACATGATCAGTTTGATTTTACGTTATCGAGTCAGCATCAGCTTGACGCAGCAAATACCTGACACCCCTCCTGATTACTCCGCACTCCACATTTACGCTCAGCTCTGCAGCTGGTAGCCTTCGTAAATCGCGCGTTCGGCCTGTGCACTTGAAAAGAAGACGGCTTGCTGGTAGTTGGGGGGGACTGGGTACTTGAACCAGGCGTGGTAGTGGCCACTGAAAATGCTACTGTGGCGGGATTGGTGACGACAGTCCGTGGAGGGATAGCGCGAACACGGACGACTGGGTTGAAGGTTACATGGCGATTCGCAGTGCGTTTGGGTTTTGTCGACGGCGAGGACATTAAGCAGCCTCCCCCGAGCTCGTTGAGTGACCGTCCGCGTCGCATATCACGCATGTCTGCCTGAGACGGGCGCTCCAAGTCCGACGAGTCGGAGGCGGCGGCGGGCGGCGGCGTTCCCCACTCAAGGTCCATGTCGAGCGACGAAAACGCGCGACGTCGCACGACTGCCGCGTTGGGGCTGCGAACGGTGACTGGCACGGTCCCGGGCCGCCATGAAGAGGCCCTGCCTGGGCTCCGAGCCCCTCCAAGAGTCGAAGAGCGTGCGCAATTCGCGGCGCCGCTCGACGCGGACGGAGCAGTTATTACTATCGCAGCGGCGTCTTCGCAATTCGCGGTTATTGGGGGGTCTTCCTCGCTTTCCACTGCAATACACGTCGGGCGGGTGAATTGTTGGCGCCTCTGACTGACCGTGGTGCGTCTCTGATGATCCAACCACTCCTTTGAAGGAACGGTGTAGGGACCCAGACCTTGACACATCGTGAGGCTTCTGGAAGCGAAGCAGACTTGTCCTAGAGGACATCGCAAAAATGTTGGGGGTGTTGTGAATGGGGTGGTCCATCGAACCACTTTTCTCGATGGTTTCCGATCGTTGTAAGTTGCTGTGTATAACCTGTGCCTGCGTTTGGGGGCAAGGTGGCAATTTTGGTAGCGCGATCAACCCTGTTTTGCCCAGTGCAAGAAAATGAATTTGGCTGCTTCCTGGAATGTGCGATCGTTTGATCTACGGACAATATTCCAAGCGATTTGTTAAACGGTCTGGATTACACCTCTGATTCATTCCGCTTGTCGCGTCGCACTTCCTGCCGCATTTGTTTCGAAGAGTTTGATGCTCGATATCTCTTCATTCATTTTAGACGTTCGATTTATCAAAGATCTACGGCTCACATTTTCTGGTCGCTGTGGGCCTTCGAACGTGCCCATTTTCAGGAGGAATTCGTTACGTGCCTGTGGTTCATCCCGGTTTATGGGCAGCGCGAAAGTTCTCGCACAGTCTGAACGGCTACTGGCGATATTTTTGTGGGGGTAACGCGAGATAAAGTTTCGTCAACACGCGCTTGCGAAAGAATTCTGGTAACGCTGGCGACCGAGTTTTCTGCACCGGACCTGTAAACTACATCGCCAGGCATGGCAACCTTGTTTCTTGCCTATTTATGATTGTTACAGCAGTTAGTGCAGGTTGTTATAATATAATTGGTAGGATAACAGAGTCTAAATCGCAACTCCTAACTTAATAATCAATCGCTTAAAAACTAGCATATGAAAAAACCTGATCATATTAGGCCAAACCTGCATCCCTTATTTCAGACCATATGCAACGACACGGGGAAGAGAGGTTGACATGATTTGTCTACGTATATATATTGGATAAGAGCGAGCTACCTGATTCATTTGTGAGCTTTTTGGGACTACGTGTGATGATTTAGGTTTGTTTTTTTAATCCCGGAGTGTGTTTCAAACTCCTTTATAACTCACGGCAAAGTTTCAACAATAGTCCCCCAAAACGATTGTGTGTTGTGAAAAAATATTGCTTAGTTGTCGACTATGAAAGAGCGAGCGACCTGATTCATATGCATGCTGCTTTGTGATTACATATTGTTGTCGTCGTCATCGTCGTCGTCCTCGTCGTCCTCGTCGCTGCTGCTGTTGACGATGCTGTTGCTGTCGTCCTTGTTGTCGTCGTCGTCGTCGTGTCGATGTTGTCTGTTGTCCTTGTTGCCGTCGTCGTTGTCGTCGTCGTCGTCGCCATGGCATCGCCGTCGCGTTGTCGCTGTCGTTCTCGTTGTGGTTGTCCTTGCGGTCGTTGTCGTAGCCATCGTTGTCGTCGTGGTCATCGTCGTCGTGGTCGTCGTCGTTGTTGTCGTTGTCGTCGTTCTTGTCGTCATTCTTGTCGTCATTCTTGTCGTCGTCGTTGTTGTCGTTGTCGTTGCCGTCGTTCTTGTCGTCGTTATTCTCGTCGTCGTTGTTGTCGTTGTCATTGCCGTCGTTCTTGTCGTCGTTATTGTCGTCGTCGTTCCGGTCGTATTCGTTGTCGTCGTTGTTGTCGTCATTGGTGTCGTTGTTGCTGGCGTTGTTGCTGGCGTTACTGCTGTGGTTGCTGCTGTTGTTGCTGCTGTTGTTGCCACTGTCGTTGGTGCTGTCGCTACTGCTATAGCTGCTGTCGTTGGTGCTGTCGTTGGTGCTGTCATTGCTGCTGGTGTTGCTGCTGTCATTGCTATTGTCGTTGGTGTTGGTGTTGATGCTGTTGTTGCTGCTGTCGTTGGTGCTGTTGTTGCTGTTGGTGTGGATGTTGTCGTTGCTGCTGTCGTTGCTGCTGTCGTTGCTGCTGTTGTTGCTGCTGTCGTTGCTGCTGTCGTTGGTGCTGTCGTTGGTGCTGTCGTTGCTGTTGTCGTTGCTGTTGTCGTTGCTGCTGTCGTAGCTGTTGTTGTTGTTGCTGTCGTTGTTGCTGTCATTGCTGCTGTCGTTGCTGCTGTTGTTGTTGCTGTCGTTGTTGTTGCTGTCGCCGATGCTGTCGTCGTTGTCGTCGTCGTTGTTTGTGTCGTTGTTGCTGTCCGTTGTTGCAGTCGTTGTTGCTGTTGGTGTGGTGGTGCTAATGCTGGTTCTCGTCGTTGTTGTTGTCGTCGTGGTTGCTGCCGTCGTTGCTGCCGTCGTTGCTGTCGTCGTTGCTGGTGTCGTCGTTGTTGTCGGTGTTGCTGTAGGTGCTGCTGTCGGTGCTGCTGTCGCTGTTGCTGTTGCTGTGCTGTCGCTTTTGCCGTCGCTGTTGCTGTCGCTGTCGCTGTTACTGTCGCTGTTGTCGGTGTTGCTGTCGCTGTCGCTGTCGCTGTTGTTGTTGTTGTTGTTGTTGTTGTTGTTGTTGTTGTTGTTGTTGTTGTTGTTGTTGTTGTTGTTGTTGTTGTTGTTGTTGTTGTTGTTGTTGTTGTTGCAATAGTAATAGTAGTAGTAGTAGTAGTAGTAGTAGTAGTAGTAGTAGTAGTAGTAGTAGTAGTAGTAGTAGTAGTAGTAGTAGTAGTAGTAGTAGTAGTAGTTGTTGTTGTAGTTGTAGTTGTAGTAGTAGTAGTAGCAGTAGTAGTAGTAGTAGTAGTAGTAGTAGTAGTAGTAGTAGTAGTAGTAGTAGTAGTAGTAGTAGTAGTAGTAGTAGTAGTAGTAGTAGTAGTAGTAGTAGTAGTAGTAGTAGTAGTAGTAGTAGTAGTAGTAGTAGTAGTAGTAGTAGTAGTAGTAGTAGTTATTGTTGTTGTTGTAGTTGTAGTAGTAGTAGTAGTAGTAGTAGTAGTAGTAGTAGTAGTAGTAGTAGTAGTAGTAGTAGTAGAAGTAGTAGTAGTAGTAGTAGTAATAGTAGTAGTAGTAGTAGTAGTAGTAGTAGTAGTAGTAGTAGTAGTAGTAGTAGTAGTAGTAGTAGTAGTAGTAGTAGTAGCCATACTAGTAGTAGTAGTAATGGTAGTAGCACCAGCAGCGGCTGTAGTAGCAGCAATACCAGTAGCAACAGTAGTAATAATAATAATAGTATTAGTAGTATTAGGAGGAGTAGTGGTAGGAGTAGGATTAGGATTAGGAGTAGGAGTAGGAGTAGGAGTGGGAGTGGGAGTAGGAGTAGGAGTAGGATTAGGAATAGTAGCTGCTACATATTTGATTGATTAGGCTAAGATGTAATTAGTGACAATAAGTATGGACTTTTCTGGTATACACTTCTTACTGTTGTAGTTGTTGGATTTATCGCTAAACGAAGTTAAGCTGTTTCGTGGAATCTGAATGCGGCTGGAAAGACGATTATCTTTCCCATTGGATGATAACCCCCCACGAATATTTTCACACATCTTGAAAGCAGTTTTGACGAATGAAGTGTCTCTTCGCTGCTGACGTGGCCAATGGGATCGAAAAGATTCCCATCAGCTTCTCGTGTCGCACCAGAATGCTGTAGGTTGTGGTTTCCTGGGACGCGCCAGGCACCACACACGAGAACCAGTTTTCGAGTCGCGCGATTTGCCGTGATTCGAGAAGCTGTCAAGTGAGAGAGAGCAGCAGCTCGATCCCATCCAATCCCAAGCCATCGAGCGCCACCCTCGTTTGCACGCAATCCCTCTCTCCACCTTCGGCGCGTTCCATACAGGCAACCCACCCACCTCACCCAACCACCTCATCCTCGAACATCGACTTATTGCTATTCTCCCCATTCTCTTCTCG